ACGTCGGCTGAATCGAATGGCGAGCCTTTCACATATTTCCTATACCTAGCCATTGAAAGCAATATGAAAAGAATTTTCTATTGAGGTTATTGAGGATCGCTCGGCCAATACCATTGTGAATATGATGTTGACCCGATGTACCCTCATTACGGTACGAATTCATGGGTATATTTAACTTATATGAAATTCTTATATCTTTTCGCGAAGATTACTTCAAATTCTTTCCTCTCCTTAATGTATTTCTTTAACGTAAAATATCTGCTCGAGTAACTTTTATTTATACGTGTAAATATATGAACAGAAATAATTAGCAGGTTACGACATAACCGGGAATTTAAAGAGGAACGATGATTCCGCATTCGTGTTTGACCCGAGAAATCATAAGTTCCTTTCGACCCTCTCGAGGTTGCACCAAGCTAGGCAGCTGTGATTTACCGACTGAAATTTGAGTATCACGAGGCACGCGAAATGCGTATCGCGAATCCAATATACCGTTCGCGGGGGTTCCCTCTATTGGGTGGTCATAATTCACACGGGGGTGCCATAACAAAAGAAACGTGTATATGCGTACGTATCGAAACACCGGTTTATATCACTGGAGATTTGTGAAAAGAATCCGTTTCCATCAATACGCGTTATAATCACAGATGAAGGATATGTGCACTTAAAGAATGTCACCAATTCAGAGGGTATGTGGAAAAAAATAATAGATATACTCACGTGACAGAAAAAGCGTAACAAAATTAAGGAATTCGATATTACGCGTAATTAAATGTGATGTTTAAATATTCATGAATTTTTCGATGATACTGAGTAATATAAGGCGCAGCAGGCTAATTAAACTCCAGCCGTAACTGTGAGTACAATTATGTGTCCATTATTTAAATTAAAATTCCTTCAACTATACGGCAGAGATATAATTTTGGCAAATATCGCAAAATTTAATATTGCGGAAAAAACGGCAAACTTGTTTGTAATATTTTTCTAGCGAATATTCCTACGATTCTTTTTCTCAGAAAGAAAAACACGACGCAAAACTCATTCTTCCGACAATGATATGGCTGAGCATGTACATAGGCAAATAGTTCAATGCATGAATGAGGATACAAGATCCATGAATCTATTTAAGTGGCTTAATATGCATTTATGCAATCATAACTTGTGCAATTTTATAAAATTCCTCGTTTATTCGAAATTCGTGGAGATTGCGCGGCCGATGTTCGTCCAAAGGCGTCAACCTTGTGAGCGAATCGACGGCGGCAATTCGCAGCTACCCCTTTCTATCGGGGAGTCAGTGAGCCGTTTTGCATGAAGCTTCCAGTCGATAAGAAGACGGTCGGGTAGCAACCCCTTACCTCTTACTAGGGATATCTACCCTACCGACTCAGAAACGATGCTTGTGTTTCGCGCAAACGCTGGGGTAATCTTTTCCAAAAATATTAGAAAGCATTGCTGCTATATCTTGTAACATACAAAAAAATAGCACTTTAACATCTATCAAAATAAAAATTTCACGAGTTGTGTAAATTTCTTTAAGCAGAAGGAATTAAAAAGTTACTATTTCAAATCAGGATAAAAAATCTATTACGATATTTTTGTAATAAATAACTACGGTATACATGCGCAAGTGACTTTAAAAGTTTAACTTACTCGATTGTCATTCGGAATACCAAATAGCTACACAGTGATAAAAATAAAATGATATATTTGTCGCTTCGTCGCTACTTTAAATCACGACTGTCATCAGACCACGACAAGAACGACATTAAGGACGGCTAATCTACCATAACCGCGAATACACAACGATGCCGATATCAGGCAATGTGTTGGTATCTCGTCGACACTCGCTAATGGGTGAGGGCCACGATTGCACCAATGTTCTCGCTCTGGGAATGTTAACGGGCCTTTCTCGTGTCCCCGATGCATTGGCGGTTATCGTTTGAACTGCATTATAGATTACGCGTGGTAAGGCAATAATAATTGCAATCATTATGCAAATATCTAACCGCCCCTCGTTACACGCCGAGGTACTTCACCTTGCTTAAACCACGAGACGGCATTCCTCGCCTCGTACAGAACAAGTATCCTTTTTCTCGAGCATGCTGACAATTCGAAATGTGTGCGACACATTGTTGCAGACTATTTGAGTAAAACCTTTGAGCTACAAAGAATGCTCTTTCGGCAAAAAGTGCCAAGCATACTTTTTTGTCGACAACACGTTAATCGCAAGAAAGTTTTATAAAATGCTTACTTTATGTATTTCACAAACAAAGCATTATGCTTATTTTTGTGCAAATATTTCGAAAAAATAATTCTCCAGAAATAAATTTAAGAACAAAATGAGATTAGTTTAAGACTGTTAGAAAATCTAAATTACTTTTGTTCGATATTAATTACACAAATTTATTTTTTATCAAATCTAATCCCAACAATAGATGCGCAAATACAGAAACATTATTCACAAAAAATAATCAAAATGTTTCCGTCGTAATGATTTCACGACGTACCTTTGACATGTCCTCAGTGACAGAATCGTTCGTCGAGGATAAATCGACACGCAGCCACGGGCTATTCATTCCCGTCGACAAAAACGCATCTGTCCATTAATGTTTCGTATTCCCGTAAGATACAGCCCCGGGGACGCGATTCATTTATATCACCCTGCGCGTACATGGCATGCCAATACCCGATCGACCCCCCATAATCGTTTGTCATTCCCTTACGCCCACGTACGCATACGCGCACTTTGACGGCGACAAAAGGTATTGTTACATTCCATGAATAAAGCCAAGAAATTACGAGTGCTCGTACATTGCAACAATTTATCCGTGAAAAAAAATTATTATACAGACAGCACGAGAATCGAGTCTAATAAAAATAATAATAGTAATATTGAAATAAGTAAGAAAAGCCAATTAAAATAATCAATTAAGTTTAGTAAAACCCCAATAATTTTATAACAAATTTTCAGCAATTTAGCCTATCATGAATTTGATTGATAATATTAGTTTGCAAAATCATACAAATATTTATTCACGAGTCTGCGAAAGCGTTTTAACGTCAATCAGTAGATTATTACGATCACGTTATCAATCCAAATAAAAGTTCACGCACCCTTATTCACCCTTGTTTCTTGACGATATGATTCGTAATAAAGTAATTAAGCTTAAATTCATCAAAGTGTCGGCGGCAATTGATACCGAGCGATCCGATCGCATCGGCGAATCATGCAGAAGCACTCACGTTTAATGAGATCGAACGAAGATAATGAAAATAGACACTTCCGGTTACGTGCTAATTATTGCCGTGCTTTGTTCTTGATTTATGCGCACATGTGGTGCGGCTTCTTCATCCCTCGACTATTCGAATTTGATTCATTAGCGCGAGCGCTCATTGTGTTTCCAATATGTGGACCATAAATTTCGCTCTTATCTACATTACTCGTCGCGGGAGTTCTACAAGCGTGCGTCGACTTTAATAAATTGAAAAATCACGCTATGTTTCGCAACTAGGATCTCCGAGGTAATATGACTCTCTGACTTACGGCGACCCGTTATCATATCGCGGTAACGAATATATTCCATTACGTGACAACTGCGCGCGTGTATGCGTACGAGATAGCGGAGAGAAGAGGGAAGAGAGCCGGCGAGAATCTACTAGAATATATTTAATCAAGATCATCTCGTAATTAGGGTAAAACATTTCTGAACCACACGTGTCTAATAGAGATGTAGATACGTCGTTTACGTCGGAATATCGTATGATCGACGGATTTCACGCAAATGTCAGAATTTTATTCTCAATCTGTTCATTAGTTCCACAATACTTAAGTATATTAGATTTTTTATGACTAGAGAGAGATACTTTGCAAAAATTAATTTTCGGTAAAGCAATATTATAATATAATAAGCCGCTTTTACTAAATTGATAACTCGTGCTCATACGACTATTAATTAACTTTATCAATATTATTATGCATATATAAAACTACTGTTTAGTCTGAATTTTTATTATGCTTTATTATTAATATATAGCATCGCACACAAATTTCAAAAAAGAGGACAAATATGACAAATTAATGTTTATTCCTTGCAAATGGAACCAATCCTATTTTCCAAATCACTTTCCCGATACAGAGCGAACGTTAAATGTGGAGAAATTCGCCGAAAAACGCTTTCATATTTTTCCATAGGACCGAATAAATATATGCGGATACGTCGGAATTTCGTCGGGACAGAATGAAGGGGGAAACAGGCAGGCAGACGTGCCACAGTCAGATAGCGGAAGTAGTAGACGACAGCTTCCGATGGACCGCATTGTGTACGAATCACATGCAAAATGTAGGAGCCAAATATGAATACGCCTCGACAATGGTCTTCTCCGATTTCACTTCTTTCGATCGTATCTCGCGTAATCGTACAGAACGATATTCGAAGGGTACATAATTTTTGAATAGCCAAGCTGAATGTCTCCGCGTCGTGTGATCGAATCATGGCATAATATGCCATTTTATAAAAGCAATTGTTTTTTCCAAGATATTAAATAATATAAAATATAAACGGTAATGTGCATTTAAATTGTAACGATCAAATAAAAAAGAGCGCTAATTAATATTTGTAATATTTTACCCTCGCGTATTTATTTGAGAGCGTTGTTTGCTGTTGGTAACTAATAATACTAACGTTATTCGTTGTTTGTAATTTACTTGTTTAATTATCACGATATTTTTCTCGAATCTTTTGCTATGCGTCAGATTTTTTTCCGCGCTTGCGGAAGACAGTCTGTCCAAAGTCGTCTACATGTGACGGTGCTCAACGGCAGTATGTATGGACGCGGTGGGTGATTCTTTAAGCGTGAAATAAATAACTCGGAGGGCTCGGCCGAAAACGTGACGCGAGCCAGTTTTCGGACCCTCCAACGTCACGTTAACGAGAAAAAACCAAGAGAACACATTTTAACGTCAACAATTAAAAATATTGTACATATATTATCGGACTCACCTCTTTGCCGCACAGCCGCGAGGGTCGTCTTCGCTCATCCTTCACGATTACAAACTTGTTTTGGGTACGCTCGCGGCCGTCGTAATTATAGCAGGCACACGTAGGCGACATTATACATGTTGGACACGTATGTAACCACTGCGCGTAGAGCAGCATATGCTATGTCATGTTTTATATCTTTAACAAACGGAAAAAGAATGTTTTTAATTCTTATAGTATATATATATATATATATATCCACATTTCTTATATAAAATAACATATCAAATATAAACGCTTGCACAACAAGAAAAAGTAACATTAGTGTTAATCGATCAATCAACGAAAATTTAAAATAAAGTATTTATTCATTATTTTTTTTTAAATTATGTATAAGTACGATAGTGATATAGTGTAAATAAGAGTATATTGAAATATTTGAGATTATAAAATGTTTTTTTATATTGAACTAAATTTTAGTAGCATAGATTACAACGGATGCACACAAGTTTGTCCAGTATTCATAGAAATACCGCGTTTTTGTAATTATGCGCGTTTTTCTCTCTTGCGAAACGAGCTGCCCCCATCTCTCATTCCGGACAGGCCTCCTCATCGCCGACTTGCTCTTATCTTGATATTTTTAGGAGGGTATTTTCCAGTGCTGCACATTCTTTTCATTTTATTTAAACGGCGAACGGGGAGGTAGGACCGCTCGTTCAGCGCTCTTGCAATGGATAGCGCCACATTTTCATTAAGGCTGCTGATTTATTGGCATAGTTAGCCCGGTCGACCTCGTTACGGTCTTCCGAAGAGAGCTGAGGGCAGCTTCTCGAAAGCTTTCCGGCACGTGGAAATCTATAAACGTCTATACACGTCGCAGTTTCAGTTACTTTTACATTTATATTATAGTAGTCATTTATTATCCCGGTAAACACAAAATGTTAGCATAACTTATATTACTTGTAAATTTAGTTTTCGTATCTTTCTCAAAATTTGACACAAAGAAGAAAACTAATAATACAAGAAGAGCAGAATAATGCTAACATATGCTAACATTTATTTCTATTCAGTATTCAATAACTCTAAATGTAGAAAATCTAATCTGCAAGAGAAAAGACCCGAAGAAATCAATTGATAAATCGAAAAGACCCGAAAATAGAACAATCTGTGGCGAGGCCGGCGAAATTTTGCCAGCAGCTACCAGACGCAAGCACCATTTATATAACGTAAAGGATAGCGAAACGGAAAGGAGATTCACGAAAGGTGATGGCTAAAGGGAAGACGAATCGACGACACTACCGTGCCAGCCCGCAACTGACATCTTCCATACGTCAAAGCCCCGCCGACTCGCCTTTCCGAGCCTCCGAAAATGTTTCACCATCGTATTCGTATTAAAGAGGGTGGTGAAAGATATTTTGTCTTCTCCTTCTCATATAGAAACTAGACGTGTCCGGAACACTGAATAATTAAGTTAATCAAATATAGCTTTTATATCTAATCAAATATCTCTACAAATATGATTTCATCGTTGCGAATTTCTAACACTTCAAATGACGGAATGACGGAAAGCAACTGAATACAAATTATTGACTAACATTCTAATCATATTGTGATTTTTTTCATACAATCTTAAATGCTTTACTCGAAAAGCAACTTATATCAGAAATTGAATGAAATTTTATCGTCCACGTAATTGCAGTGGACATTGCAAAGAAACAATAATCAAGCTCAAAATTGAAATCTCTGCGAGGTCCTCTTCTTGAGCGAAACGTCGCAACAACTAAAATTTTTTATCCCAAGGTTATCTGAAACCTTAACATGTTCCAGAGGGTGGCGTCGAAATCATTTCAGAGAATCCCGATTGCTACCGCATGCGGGCGCGTTTAAAGTCGTACTAATTAACACGGCAGCGATTCAAGATGTCGGTCGTACAGTGGGATGGGTCGAGAAGGAGGAAGTCTTAAGGCAGCGTGTTCTCTCCGGGGAGCCAAGTGTTAGGAGAATTAACAGCAACCCCTGATCTTGGCCCTCTATGCTATCTCCCTAATAATAAACTGGTAATTCCCAATGCCCCTATAAGTTACTCCCTTTCAACGCCACAATGACCTACGAGTGCCAAGACGTATTGTCTACCGGGTGTTCGCGATCTGTTCCACTGTGCCTTCTATCCTGTAGACCATTAGTTGATTGAACGAGAAAAACGAGTCAAGAACAGCGCGAAGAAACGTCATATTTATGAGACCGAAACGATACCCATTGATATGTCATGACATTGATTATAGGTATTTACGACGACTTTTCTTCGTTTTTATATGACACTTTTCAAATGCAAATTAACCTTCTTTAATATGTACAAAAAAATATTATATTTTAATTCAAAAAGATCTTTGTTTTTTGTTTCATTCATTTTTGTAAAAATCTTTCACCTTACAGGATTAAAATATTTTATATGCACTTTAAAAATTCTTTAAATCATTATTCATCTATGAACGTTAAATTAAATTAATTAAATTACATCATTCAAACAGAGAATGCAACATAAAAATGTGTCAATCGATAGACATGGTCATAGCACAAAATAAGAAACTATATAACTGATATTTATTTATAACAAAGTAGCATAACCAATAGACGTTTATTTTGGTATTTCTTAAACAAACAAAATTTGCTAAATCTCAACTTTGGTTTACTGTAATGGAATATTGATGATCGCCGGTTTCGCATGCGTTCTCTCTTCCGGACATTTAGCAAAACTTACTCCCGACCGGACGTTAATTCGTACTCTCAATGAATTCATCATGATTTCAGTGCAATGCTCACCCGTTACATCGTTACAAGCTCGGTGTATCCTAGAACGTGCACACCTTCATCATAGACACCACGGTCTGTAAAGTACCGTGCTTTCCGCGTCGGGAAGGGGTGGAAAACGCGAACAAGAGAGAGGGAACGGATGTTGGTTACAGGATAGAGAGAACGAGGGATTGTAAACTTCCAGGAGGAAGCTCAACCTCTCGACGGGAACCGGTTAGATTTATGGCCATAAATTCCTATCCAATAAGAAACGAGATATCTATGTATTCTCTAACCGTAACGATACATGCAAGTGCTCAAGTGTTTGTGCAATGCGAATTTTTTGATAATTGAAAAGAACCCCAAGAATATACAGCTATAGAGAAAAGATTATGCCTTCATATCGCTATCAACAGGAACATAATAAATTGTTCTACAGTAATACTTTTATCACTGTGATATATTGCCAGCCACAAGATCAGATACTGCTGTTAATTTTAAAGATACCTTTATATGCAATTACGTGAAATATGATTATCCACTTCTATAATTAGTAACTTAAGAAACATATATAGTGACTGTTAAATATCATAGTTGTCAGCTATGCTCACTGTATTACGAACTATGTTTAGTGTTATATTGGCCGCAACTGCTGCAGCAACATTTGTAAATTATATGTATGCATGCTTGATAAATCTAATTGCTTCTCTGGGAAGAGGCACTAAAAAGCAATGAGAAGCGTCTTATTGCAAGCAAAGGATATGTTCTACTCTGTTTAGCGAGGATATCTGCTCCGTAGATTAGGAACGAAGGGGACGGTAACAGTGACCGATAAATTTCGCGGTGACTGTCTCTTACTTGTAATTAAACGCACAATTTAAACAGACCGTTAGTGTCACCATGACCAAACCAGATCTCCTTCCGGTAGAGATCTTTGAGAGCAACTCTTGCGATGACAGTATGTATCACTGGATAAGTTAAAATACATGTAATATCGATTGTTACAACTTTGCAACTCAATAATTCTTAGCTGTTAAATGCACGCGATAAAAATGCTTCGTATTATTCTTTTTTTATATAGTTCAGATATAGATGTATAAAATTAAACAATATATTTCAGAGATTATTCATCAAAATGCATGCATCCTAAATCTTTTGTCTAAATTGGAGAAATAACATTATAAAGCGATTATTTTCTATAACTGACATCTTATGCAATTGAACGGGATGTATATTTTCGTTTTGCATACATATAGACTACAATCCTAATTACGGTATTGTGATGACCCGCGTCGCGTACCAGTCGAACATCTGCGATCCATCGTGACAGATAAATCACCTTGGGACCACCCTCCAATCGCGTCTCGCCCATCGCCTTGCATATAGACAGTTACTAATGAGACGACCCCATTTAATTAACCGTATATGGTTTCGATGCAACTGCCGAACTATTTCCCGTTGAATACGCGCGTGTTATCGCCGCGACACGCACAACTTCAACTAATAAATTTGTTCTAACGCGAAGCGATATTTCATCGCGACTGCTTTCTTGTGCCGACACATCTGTACGATTTGTATCACTATAGATATGAATATTGTTAACAGTAGTATTTTAAAACCAATCCCAAGCTTAATAATTCATTGTCATTGCCGTAAGATAAATTGCAAATTTTTCTGCATGTACTAAGTAATTTATAAATTTTACAAATTTTAAATCTAATATTGTGTGCTGTTTACTTTATTGTAAACTTTATTTTCACTATCAGAATATATAAGTTAATATCTATTCGAAAATCAATAATTTAATAAAATCAATATGTAAATATAAAATAATAAATTTAAAAATATTTTAATATTTAACTTTTAGCTTAGCTTTCAATATACTCAATGCTCAATACTTCAAACATAAATAATAACGATAATATAGATGATATTATACTGCATATATATTTTTACAAAAAAAAAAAAAGATGTAAAGCAAATTACCTTTTGCTTTTCAGGCCCCGGAGGGATTCGAACCCTCGATCTCCTGTTTACTAGACAGGCGCTTTAACCAACTAAGCCACGGCGCCATTCGAGAAACGTGAGTACTCCATAATTTATCACGTGATCTGAAATTTTAACATGCTTCATATATATATTTTAAAAACAAATCATTATTTCTAAAACATTAATAGATTGTTACATACATGTTACATATTTTTTTTTTTCTTGTTATGCATATTATGTAAAATTTGAAAAAACTTTTATACAAATAATATAATATTAATATAATATAGTATATGGCAATATATTGATACATGGCCTAACTCCAAATTGTAAAGTATATTCAAAGTAATTTAAATAGAAATGGATTGCTTTTGACATAAATTGTTAAAAATTTTATTGATCTGTCAATATAAATTCTTTATTCGTAAATTTATTATTCGTAAATGTATTAAGATTTACTTTTAAATGAACTGCGAGTCTAAAATCTACAAAATTAATTTTTAATTGTTGCTTATGACAAGATATTATTCATGTGTAGCATTTTGCAAAAAATACCGCCCCCGGGTGGGCTCGAACCACCAACCTTTCGGTTAACAGCCGAACGCGCTAGCCGATTGCGCCACGGAGGCTGTTTGAAGGTCCGTGCTTTTTAGAATAAGAAAACCCTGGTTTTTCTTCATGTATAAAACTTAATTTTTTGCTGCTTTTGTATATATATTTTTATTTTTATCCCATACGTTGACATACTCACATATAAATATATTAACTTAAATATCAAATAATACCTTGAATGTACTTTATAAATAATACTTGACAAACTAAAGTTGGTCATGATAAATAACATGATGTTGCTAATTTTGAAACAAAAATATTTTTTTTATAAAAATTCTAATAAAGGCTGTAAAATATAATTAAACATTTTTAATAGATAAAATTATTAACAGATAAATGATTAAAATTGTTTCGATTGATCTAATTTCTTGATGCTGCTCGCTTTGAGAAAATAGGCATTTAATGTTAGCTGAATGGAATTGCACAATAATACACATATATGTATTCGCTTCATGCTACAGAAGCAGTTAAAATATACATATTTCCGCAAAAACAAGTTAGAAGATTACTTACTTATACCACCTCGACCTGAAAGTTCAACAATAACCTTGTCGCCCCCCCCGCCCCTCCCAACCCATTATCGACACCAGGATCCGCTACAAATTCGCTAGTGGCTACAATCAACAGTCGTATCTCAAAATGGCTACGACTTAATAGCCCAAATTAACTGTCGCAAAACACGATCATCGACGCTCGCAATATTTTCAAATGGATCGCTCGCGAAATCACTGTACCATTAAAATACGTTAGAATACAAAATGTCGCGGTAGTCCGAACTCGATCCGAGCGCCACTCTGTAGCGCTCGGATCGAAAAGTTGCAGGTTGTCCAACGTTGCGATTACATACGGTGCTGCCTAGATAGGCAAGGAGTGGCAACTCTTCCGCGGTAACTAACTAAGTTTTTCCTGTGTTACATCAATTGCGCGCGCTTGGAACTTAATTCCGCGCGGAAAATGTCATCGTGTACGGATTTGTTGCGGCTGAATGAAAGTCGAGTGTTTAAAGATCTCAAAGCGAGCCTGTCGAGCAGCATCAAGGAAACGCGGAATATCCTGGAGATTCGTGACAATGTGCTGTTTGTATGGAATACTGACAAAAGTCGCGTACTCACGTTCAACATCGCGACCGCCCGTGGCGAACTCGACGAAGACAGCCCTTATCAGGTAAGTACTATTTCTGTTATTACGTATTGTTTACTCGCACTTGTCGAAGAATTTGTTAAATGTTAGAATTTATTGAACGTAAATACGAAAACGGCATGGAATAACGCGTTGTGTTTTGCAACCTAACCTAATCCTGTCAACGCTTGCGCGCTGTTTTCCATTGCTTACATCTTGCTTTCAAGTTGCTCTCAGCTCCTCTCGTACAGAATGTTTATCGCTGTAATATTTGATAACCTTATATAAAAATGTTTTAGATATAAATAATGAATATAATACCGTGTGTGATATATGATATTCATTCACGTTATATAACATTTATCTTGCTTCTGTTTGTTTAATGAGTAAATATGAATTATTGATAAAAATATAATAAGATATTAACAATAATTAAGACACATGAAATTAATTATTAATCACTACAAAGTAGTTGTTTTATTGAATGTAGAAGGAATTCTTATTTCACTGTTTAATTATTTAAAGTCATAAAATGATAAAATGTAAGAATTTTGGTTGTATTATTCCTAGTAAACAAAAATCAGTTGTCAATATGCCATAATGTTGTCATATTGACAACATTGTCAATATGACACCATTGCTAATATTTGGCTATATATTTGGGATTTTAAATTATTTAACTTTTATTATAAAAATCAATTGATAGAATAAAAATATCTTGTATCAATCCAAGTTACAATTTTTTGTTTTATTATTTTGTATATTATTTAAGAGCACATTGGCAAATATAATGATAAATAATTATCTTCTAGTACATTTATTATATGAAACTATAATTAAATATAAATTAAGAACTGTGATTTTGGATTTTTATTTTCTTAAGCATTCTGAAATATTTTTGAAATAATTTTATAAGTTTAGAAAATGTTTTCAAGATGCTTAAGAAAATAAGATCCAATATTACAATTTCCTATTTAGATTTGATTGCAGATTCATAATCCATTCACTGGAAAGTAATTGTTTATCTTGATTAACTGATTAGCTTAGATATGTGTTTTTAAATAATGTATAAAGTAAAAAATGTAGAAAAAAATTGTATCTTGTATGGAGTAATGAGCTATTTTATCGATTGATCTTTACACCAATTTTTTGTTTGTTATTCTGATTCAATGATTTAAACACTGCTGCAAATCGATAAAAAATGACAAGAAAGACACTACAAGAATTTGTGTTCTTGGAGCAGTAGGAAACTTGAGATTAACCCGCGTTACTGGTGTACTCACGGAAAATGATTGCGTGGTAAATGAAAGGGAAGCGGCGCGACGGCGGAATCGCGGCGAGGATGGTCAAGCGGTACGTTTCGTTCTCCGCTGGCCGCTGGTGCTTTTATTTCATTTCAATGGCACCGTAGGATCAGCGGGTACGTTAATGCCTCGGCGCGCGCGAGCGCAAAAGAGCGGCGAGGGGATAATTTATAGGAAATGGGTTGTTCGACGCTCCGAAGTAATTTAATTAAAATAAATGTCCGCGCCGCGGAGGAACGTTGCCCACACGAACGGACCCGCGGTTCCACGACTGCGAATAAAATGCAAATTCAGACCCTTCATCGGGGATAGGGTCACATGTATACGTATGCGTATAGCTAGGCAGATAAAAGTACCCGCGACGGCGGTGAGGAGGAGGAGAGGAGAAATAAGAGTGGGACGAAGGGACCTGATAGTATCTCGGTACCGATCGTCGCTCGTTCATCCGTTGATTCGATAAGCCCTGTACTCGGTTAATTACACTCAACTGTCGTTTTAATAACGCGATGATGTAATATTTCATTTAATCTTCATGGTGGCTATGTTGCAATCAACCACTATTTAATTGAAATAAGAAGTTAAAATGTTTAATATTCTTTACTATGTTTAATATACAGAAAAATCAAACAAACGTGGAGAAAATTGACACAAAGTATGCTTATAACAATAAGGAATAACTCGAGTTTTTCTTAGCGATAGCAAGTTAATGTACCGCGTACGTTAGATCAGATAATTTTCTAATCTTTCCTCGGCCGTTCCTCGGCCATCCCTCGGAGACATCGATTACGTTAAACGATACCACCGACACGTCACATCGCGGCGGCCACTTTGCGCTCGACTCGCTACCGGGTGTACGCGCTCGGGCCTGGCTGAAATATCGGTCGTAAATAATAAAAGTTAGCGAGGTTCCTCTCTGGCGCGCACGCCAGGACTTTAAACCGGAAGATAGGTGTCGCAGGATACGGACGAGGGTGGCGGTGGGCAAAAGTGGCGGTGGGCAAAAGTGGCGGCGGGTTGGGGGACGGCAGCGTGGTGCGGGACGGAGACAAAGACGCACCATTGTCAACCGCTCCACCATCGGAACCGCCATCCGCTGCGGGAAACTTTGAATCATTTTTATTGCATAGAGTTATCTTTGTTACCAGCGGAACGAACGTCTAAACGCGCCCTCTCTCTCTCCTTCCTTCCCTCCCTCTCACCCTCTCCTCGAGCTATCTCTCTTTTCCTCCCGCGCCTTTCGCCAGGTCATTCCCGGCTCTCGTCCTTCGTTCTCGCCTTCCTGCCGGTTACGCTCTCTTTCCCTTTTTGCCCCGTCTCCCCCCGTCTCCAACGGCCGGGCCGAGAGATAATACGAACGCGAAAGCGTTCACACCCCTTTGGCTGCCCAAATGGAATAAGTTCTTTAATTCGCGAATTTACCGCCGCGCAAACGAATCGTCCGCGTTGTCGTCAAGATAATATTTGGCGGATGAAAGAGGGCCATTTTCTTGGCCGAACTTTTCATTCGCGGTTTGTCCTCTTCAAGAACCGCGGTACTCGTTGCTGGAAACAAACGCGAGTTTTATGGGAAATTAAGTTGCTCAAGTTTAAGATATTAAAATTTAAGACGCGGTACGAAGATTAATACTTGCCGACAAACGAGATATTTATTTGAAAAGCTTTGCACATTTCAAAATAATAAAATTTCGATATTTTATTATTTCCCAATATCTCATATTTCCTAGAATAATTTTTCTATGTTAATTTATTAAAAGAAATTACAAATGTTTAATATACGGGAAACAATTTAACCTTTACAAGTTCGGAATCTTGCGTATAAAGCGGCTTATATTGTTATGCGTAATCCTTCAGATTCATTGTCTCAACATTATCTACCATGATTAAAAACGCAAAACGCAGACGATCGCAATCGCATCGAGATAAGCACTACTTCGATTCCGGAGCACGATGCGATGTCAACGACCTACGTGAGGCTTTCTATATGTCTCACGACGTATAAAAGGGGCAATCTTATCTAAATTAAAAGCACCGTTGCCGCCGCGACGGGCAAGGGTCAACGGCGCAAACAAAATAGAAAATTTCGGGCGAATTCCTGCCTCCGGCACCAGCCGCCGTCGCCGCCGCTGCCTTCGTCTCAGGAACAGAGCGGAATATCGCGTAATAAGCGAAATCCTCTCGACGATAATTAAAAAGTAATTTTACGGTGACATTTGTAACTGCGGGCCCGCCTACCCGCCGGTAAATACATGTGCAGCCTCCCGTTCTGTGTGTACACAAGCAATAACCACGACATACGCGACATAGCTCTGTATGCCTGTACGTGCACGCGTAAATGTCCGCGTGTGTGTGCGTGCGTGCGTGCGTGTACGTCTGAATGTTCCCGCGGTCAGATTCACGCCCGAGCGTATAAGCAAACGTGGGGGTGGTCCTGGCGGTTCCTGGCCGGGTTAGGTGCCGCGCTGTGCACGTGGAGGTATACGAGGAGGTACCTAGAGTAATAAAATTCACGGGAAGTGTTTTACATCGGGTGGCGCGCGTAGCTCTCTGTGTACGCTGGATACGGCGGGGTGGAAGCGAGAGAGGCTCGACGAATTCAGTAAGTGGCGGACAATGGCTTTTGTGGTAGACATCGGTCGCCCCCCTCTCCCCCCCCTCTTCCTCTCCCCTTGTGCAACCCCTTCTCGGCATTCGTATTTTGTTCCACCGTCGGCACGGATACATTTTCCCTTCCACGTTTTCTCCCGTGCTGTCTTTCTCTCTTTCTCTTTTCCACGACTGCTCGAGCACTCGAATCATCACGCTCTCAGAGATGTGGAAAACGCGGTAACCTTATGTGAACTGACGGAATTTTTCTTTTTTTCTCTCTCTCTCTCTCTCTCTCTCTTTCTCTCTGTCTCTCTCGATTCATTTGTTAATAGGAATTTTGCCTTGAAAGCATCAGGGGGATAATCGCGTGGGATTATCACAAATATTCAGTCTGCTGTATTTACCGCTTATATTCCGATCAAAAATATGCTGAGAGTAACAATGAGTATATACTTTGCAATGGAAATTATATACATATTCAACTGCGAAAATTTACAATTCTTTATGACTATTTGTTGTAATTAAAATTCAATTTCTTATTTTTATTTCTCATTTAATTTCACATAGCTCTTGCTTTGACAAATTTTTTATTCTGAGCTTTATTAAAATATTTAATATTAAAGATCTAAATTTTTCTTGAGTAAAGTTAATCCTAAATTCATTAAAGACACGACAGATAGAAAAAAGTATTACATTAGGAATCCAAACAATACACTTACTATCGAATTAATTACTGAATTAATTACACGCGGCACGGCGCAAGATACGCAGATCATAAAATTGTTCGATATCAAATACGGGGTTTAATGAATCGTCAAAGGGGCACTTAAACTGGCATCACCGATGTTATTGGACGTTGAAGACGAAAGCGAGCCGCTATAGAACGTCCAATACACGCGCAAGACGTAAGAGTGCGAATGTGTAGCTCGTGTACTCATAAACTAGCACCTTTATCTCTCGCAGCCGCGAAGTCGTATACAAGAACGACGGTGGTCCATTGTCAAAGCTGCCCGTTAAAATACGGAATACGCCCTTAGTCTTGGAAGGAACCGGGCGCGCACCCACCGGCCTCCATTATCGTCGCGTGTATAGCCTATGAGCGGTGAAAGGGCTGCGAGGCTCCCGCAATGATAATAATTCCGCGCTAATAACCCT